ATTTTTATTGTCCCATTAAAAAATAGCACTATTACCAATATGTTAGACGAAAAAATATTACATCAGTACTACGCACTTAGAGTAACGTGCGTAGCCAATGAAATCACGCCACGACACCCCGCACGACAGAAAAAAAAAACGGCGCAGTAACACGGGGAATATTCCCCCACCCCCGTGTTATTCATGTGTTATTGTGTGTTATTCATGTATTATTGATTTGTTATTGTATTATTATAACACCAGGAATATTCCCAGGACACAATAACACATGAATAACACACAATAACACATGAATAACACGGGGGTGGGGGAATATTCCCCGTGTTACTGCGCCGTTTTTTTTTTCTGTCGTGCGGGGTGTCGTGGCGTGATTTCATTGGCTACGCACGTTAATCTTAATGGGGGGGTCTGATGGATAACACAATAACACATCAATAACACGCAATAACACATGAATAATACAGGGGGAATATTCCCCGTGTTACTGCGTCGTTTTTTTTTCCTTGTTGAGCGTGGCGTCGTGGCGTGATTTCATTGACTACGCACATTACTTCTACGTGCGTAGTACTGATGTAATATTTTTTCATGTCACACAAGGCATGGCAATAAGAATCATTTCATTTACTCGGGCTAAAATTTAGAAGATGTTGCGAGGAGTACAAGCGTAACGCCGAAGGTCAAAGAGAATGGTGCTTCAATATTGATTAGGCATGGGAACCAAATTCAAGCAACAGTCTCATACACAGCTTGATTGTTTGCAGCATGAAACTTAAACTACAATGTGTGATGAAGGATTAATCCCCATAAACTTCTCACTCGATTATGTTTCTTCCCGGATGCACCTTCCATAACCCAGACTTATGCCAACTATTCTTCAAATCCTTTAACATCTTCCGACCAGATCATGGGATAGAAGAGCACGGCTACAAAGTTGAGTCTTGGAAGGCATTCAATCTCATGATTATTAAGCTCAACCAACCATTTTACCAATCAAATCAATAACTGAAGCTTTTGAAGAACTTGTCTCAGTGGTTTAGCAGACACCTTCATTAAGAGTATTATTAGGGGTAGAGGTGGTGTAGTTGCGACTAAAATTAAAACTAACTTTGTTAATATAAGGTAGTTTAACTCAATGGAATTTAAAGTTTTGCTCCAGAAGTAAACTGGTGACTACTTTACTCTTAAACAAGCACTGAATTTACTGTGATTCATGAGAAATATTTTCATACGGAATACGCACGCAAAGCTGCATGCGTAATAAACCCTCAATAACCTCCTCTTCGTAGTTATTAGGGGGTTATTGAGAGGTTATTGAGGTATTAATTTTAATAACATATAACCACAATAACCTTCGCGGGTTCAATTTTGGATGTTATTCACAGGTTATTATGTGGATCTTGTGGGGTTAATGGAGTATGCACGCAGAGCTGCGTGCATATTCCGTATGGAAATATTTCTCATGATTCATGGACTACAACAAAGTATAATAGCGATGGATTGCATTTGGGGGTTATTAAGAATTGTAGAAGTGTTTGGATAGTGCTTGAGTTCTTGGAAGGCTTACTCTCACTTGGAGGTCTACAAAAAAGTGTTATTCTAACATCGTGAATATGATAAATTTTTGTCGACTAATCAAGAAATAAATTAGGCGATCAAAAAAAAAAAAAAAAAAAAAACAAACCCAGCTTCTTAATATGTTTTTGGATGTCGTAATTATACATCATTTATGAGACAGAAAGGATTGATTGAAACTAATTGATGTTTACTTTAATGCATCAGAAAGACATAAGATATCACATAAACATCCTAGAGAGAGTACCAAAGACACCAGGGGGGTTGAGTGGATAGAGGAGGTTATAGAGAGGAGGTAGACCAACTATCAAGAGTAGGATGCCAATTAGTTGGTCTACATATACTTCAGGGTTTCTTCCATATTAGTGATAAGAGGCTCTCACATTCCTCAGACTAAATAACATAATTTCTAAGCCAAATGTGCCTTTGTTAGTGATAAAATTGGCCTTCTTTTCATCTCCAGGGTGTATTTTAATCTGATGTTAATTCATAGGTGTCAGGAAACTTCGATACAGGGTAGTGCATACTTGAGAGTCATTAGAGGAAAAAAAAAAAGCTTTAGATCATGTGTTTTTCTACTTCTTGAAATCCACACACATATATGACATTCGATTAGCTTTCTTCACCATATGATAGTAGGAACTCAATCCCATAAAGGATTATCAGATGAATCTAGCAAAAAGGAATTTGACAACCTCTATCATGCCAACTTTAATCAAGTCATTTAAGATTTTCACTTATTTTGTTTATTGGTCTTGCTTCTCAGTAAGGCAGAATGGGTTCGATTAATTCATAGGTGTCAGGAACATAAGGTACCTTCATAGTGAACTAATTTTGAAGGCCTCCTCTCCTCAGTGACGTCAACTTCAAAATTAGAGATTTCTTCCACATCTTCTATAGGCTAAAGGTTCGATTGATTCTTCTAAAGTTCATAATGAAAGTAAAATCATCTTTAACCAGTGCAATTAACACTTCTATTATTGTAAGTGCAAATGATAGCAATTCCATTCGATGCAAGGAATTTAATTGCAAGCAGGCAATAGACGCTTTGAAAATAATAAGCAAAGGTGGCTCAAAAATGACGTTGTAAACCAAAGGCACGTGGAAGACTATGAAATCCATTTGACACATTACATGAAGATTATGATCACCCAATATCAATTCAGGGGTACTTAGGCCCTCCAAGCTGCGCCTCTCCCCCAAGAACTGCACCAAAGTCCCATCAACATGCCAAAAGTTCTTACTAATGAATTTCATCCTCTAGCAAATTCGAACAACAGAACAGTAACTGAGCTACTTATGTCAAAAAGCATTCTCAGGAACTCTTAGTGTTTAATGATGGCAGTGATCAGCATGAAGTCATTTTAAACTTTGAAGATGATGTGAGGTTGTCATCTGAGAAGGAAATAATTTCAGTAGAAGAACAGAAATTTATCTCGTAGTAGTTGGTTCAAGAAACACCTGATTGACAAGCTGCTTTAGAGTTGGGTCCACCAATGATGTCATTCCACACACCTTAACTCCACTAGATCCAATTGACTTGACCTCAATTTGCTTGTTGGGGCAGTGTGAGACTAGAAACTCCTTTAGGTTCCCCTTTTTTATCAACTTTTCTAATAAAAGCTACAATATACAGAAATCATTTGTATCATGATTGTGATATTTGTGGCGTCGAAAAAACTTCTTTGCTCATATCTCCCCAACCACTTCATGAGGAATGACCATTTAAAGTACTAGTGATTCTCTATAGCCCCCATAATCGCAAAGATGGAGAGATTGAGAGGAGCAAGTTGAACATCTTTTAGATAATGCTAAGGTGAAGGGAGAGTCGACCAAAATTATCATGGCAGTCAAAGTGGATAAAGTCGCCTCCCAAACTAGAGAAATGGGTTTGAAAATGCCTCTTCTTAAAAAAGTGACAGCGGCTGGTAGGATGAGTTCTTCTTTTATCTATGAAGGGAAGAGCG